TCCCAAAGCAAATGAACCTGCTTAGTTTCATTTAAATTTTCTTCAATGCATTTGAATCAAAGGATATTTAAAATCCTGAAAAACTTTATGGTATATCTATGTGGATTTGTTAAATAAAATTGTGCTTTGGACTTCCTTCCACTTCATTAGATTATTTCTGCATTTGTTAAATTATTTTTTTTCTATGTATTGGAGATGAAAAGCACTCCAGAGAAGGTAGAGAAAATATTTCTCCTACATATCATTTAACATCCAGAATGTGACTGAAGATGCACAAGGTAGAGGACAAAAGAAAGGGAAGAGTCTGCTTTACTGTAAGGATGCATCCTATCCCACTCTGCTCAGTGGTTCCCCATCCCAAGTCACTGTGTTATCAATGCAAACTCAGAGAACACATATGCATTAATCACAAGACTTTTAACAGTGCTTGTAGGTATGGGGGTAATGAATAATTGGGAATTTAAATGGAAGGATTAGGAAAGTTTCTGAAGTGAGTTTGTAGAGATGGCAAAACAGGAAATTGATTAATGCACAAAATTCAAGTTAACTCATGATAAATAAACAAAAACATAAAAATATATCTGGATTGGGATTCTGAAACAAAGTAGTTCAATAATTAGTCTCAGATTTCATATTTTAAAAAAACAAAGTAGCAAAATTTTATAAATTTCAAGTTGGTTTTTCCTCTCTTAATCACTATTTTCATATTTGCAAAAATTTAATCAAAAAATTCAAAGAACATTGAATATTGTATATCATTCTTGAATAATCTTAATAAAAATTTTAATAAAAGTCTTGAGAGGTCCTGTAATGCAGAAAGGTTTTAAGTTTTGGTGGACTTTTTCTCTAATCTAATTGACATAGATAGTCATATTTATATAGAAAGCCTCTTAATATCCCAGGGTTATTGTAAGGAAATACTATACTGCTGATTCTTTTTTTTTTTTTTTTCAAGGCGGGTTTCCATCATGTTTAATATCTCTCCTGATTATCTGCACCGTGTCTGGTGGGGTTCTTTCTCCCCACGGTGAAAAGCTCATCAAGCATCTCGATGTGCACAGTACACATACATCATGCTATTGATCGGCACCTGTATAAAACTAAAGACAGACTCTGAAAACGGTGGTAAATAGAGAAACCGTGAATCCCCAAAATCACCGCAACCCGAGAAAGTACAATATTTCAAAGGCACAATGACATCGCAAGACGCACCATCAACAATTCTGTGCGTGCGGGTGGATGAGCTACCTCTGCACTGAGGGTCCGTCCATTTCTGGCCCTTGGACTGCACTCAGAGGTGACATTGCTGAAGAATCCAAGCATCTCCAGCAATCCCAGTTCTTGACTCTGAGATGCGGTAAGAACAGGAAGACTGCACATTCTTCCCCAAGCCTTTGCTCCTCACCTGACCTCCACCCTCCTGGAGTCTAGGGCCAGATAAGAATTGTACGGCATTGTTGAGTCAGAACACTGTAAACAGCCTCTTAAGGGTTCTGATGGGTGGTCCTAACTTGGGGACTTGGCACTCAGTGGGCTGGGTTAAGAATAGTATTTTTTGAAGTCCTTGATTTGCATTTGAACAAAGATTTGGCAAAAGGAATTCAAAAGACAAAAACTCAGACCCCAGGCTTGCAGTCTGTGTGGATTCCCATAAAGTTAATTTGGGAGATGGTTCAGAGACACCGGAGGAGGGTCTTGAGGAAGCATTCAGAGCATGTGTGGCAGCAAGTTAAGGTCACTTTGCATAAACTAAAAAGCCATTCATTAAAATTAAGTGTTTGCCATCACCTCAGAACTTTTTTTAAACCCACCTACCCTGGCCCTTCCATCTCGGCTTCAACGACAGGGGTTGCATTTTTAAAATATATAAAGAAAAATATAAGCTTACTTGGTGACCATATAGTGCACTCTAACAGCTGTCTGCAAATATTTCCACCATGAACGCCCTTACTAAAAGTAAATCACGGGGTAAAGATAGCTCAAACGTGACAAGGTTCGCAGGGGACCCACCGCCGCTCTCTGCGATCCTTTTGGTTGCATATGGAAAAAGAGCCACTTGGGGTGGCCCAGTGAGCTGCGCCCCCTAAACCTTGGGCGATTGGGCCCGGCTGACGTAGAGGCTGAGCGTGCGTCTGAGCAGCAGGTCCCTGCAGGCTGGGCTGTGACCGCGACATTCGCCTAAATAGTGGTTCTAGTCCAAAGTCTCCCGTGTGCAGGGAAGCCTGTTCTTTTGTTTTTGATTTTGTTAAGAATATCCTCTATTTCAGAACTGTCTTCCATCACGAGCTTCGTCCATCACAGGCGAGGGTTGGGGGGCAACGTCCCAGCAGGGACCGGCTTCACTCCCTGGCACTTTACGGAACAGCTTTGTCTTTGCCCAGTGGCTGCGGCAACGGGGACGGGGGCTGATCCTGACCAGGCGAAGAGCAGTTTATAAAGTCGGTCTCTCCCATCTGGTAGATGGGGGAAGATGGACTACAGCAAAGCTCAAAGGTCAGCCTTGGCCCATCTAAAAACGGAGCAGCAGCGAGGACTCGACAGTGTGCTTTCAGTACCTGGAGTAAACCGATATGTCCCGACTCCGGCCACAGGGCACAGCCGTGGGCGGCGAGAGGAAGCTCGGCCCAGCGCCCCTTCGCTGGAGACCACGGCCCCAGCAGGCCCTTCCAGACAAGGTGCTTGGCGCCATCAGAATCCAATATCACTGTCTTTACAACACAAAATAGCAGCACGCTCATGTCAAGTTCTTGAGAGTAAAGCAAATCCAACGGTAAGGCTGTCCCCTGTCACGCCAGAAAAGTCAGACTTGCTTTTCGGTTGTCTTAGGTTTTTTTTTTTTTTCCTCTTTTCTTTTCCAGAAAAAAAATTTACAAAACACACTTACAGAACCATAAATAATCTGATGGCAATATATACATATTTAAATAATTAACTTAAATATCGTACACCTACTCCTGGATTCCACTCTCTGTCCAGAGTCCGTGGAGGCTGAGGCGGCTCTGGAGGGTCACAGCCTGGGGAGGAAGTGGGTGACCTTCATGGTGGGTGGCACTCGGTTCCCCTTCTTGGGAACCATTCTTAGTGCGATGAACATGCCGGGGTGCTCCTGGGGCTCGTAGGCGTTGTAGTTGTTGGGGAGCAGAATCTCCTTGAACTTGCAGTCATCCGCAAAGAAGGGCGAGCCATAGAGCTTGCCCTTGCTGCTCATGGCCAAAAAGAACCTGCTGGCCACTCCGAAGATGCTCACGACGCCCCGCTCCACGGGGGAGAGCTCCAGCAGACTGTCGCTCATGTCCGCGTGCACGCCGCCGATGCGACCATCGGGGAGCACTTGCAGGTGGAAGCCGATGCCCACGTTGCAGTAGAGCCTCCGCAGCCGCTTGATGCCCAACAGGTAATCCCCAGCGCCGCTCTGGACAGCAGCCTCCTTGGGCTGTGAGGCCACGGGCAAGCGCACCAGCGAGCGCACCAGCAGGCTCTCCCAGTGGTGCTCCGGCTCGGCCTCCAGCGTGCCGTTGGGTGCTGTGGGTGCGGCGGCGCCCCCTTGGCCCGCCCAGGGCGCCAGCAGGGCCAGCAGGACTGCCAGGAGCAGAGCCGCCGCGGCCGTCCCGGGCCC